CAGATTTTACATTTTATTCTTCTTCTTTATTCTCGATTACAAATAGTCGGTCAATGAAATATTATTAAGAAATAGAGATTCTTTTGATATTTTATTTTTTAAATTCTAATTAATTTAATTCTTCTGTGGTAACTTTTATTTTTAATTTTAAGACAAAATTTCAATTATTTTTTTATTGATTTAAAATGTAAAATCTGTTTCATTAAATTTATTTATATAAAAATTACAAAATTTAATTAATTTTATTTTAGAAAAAGACTTATCATCATAAATATAATAAAGATTTAAACATATTTTTAATTATTTAAATTTAAGATAAATTTATCTTTAATCTCTCAAATTTAAAATTATTATTTTAGACTTTATAATTTTTTTAAAAATTATTTTAATTCATTAAAAACTAAAAATATATTTAAATTTGTAATAAAAAATACATAAAATACAAATTTTCTAAACAATCATAAAAGAATTTAATACAGGATATTTTTATTTTTCGGTTGCTTGTCATTTTTATGCATTTAATGATGTTTATGATTTTTATGTTCGGACATAGTTGATAAATTTTTGTCTTAAATTGATAAAAAAAAAAGTGTATTAAAATTAAAAATGATTTCTATTTTAGAAAGACTAAGTTGATTCAATTTTTAAAATTAAATATTTTTTTAAAAAAAATAAATCCTTTAAAAACTAAAATAAAATAACTGAAATGAATAAAAAAAAGGCTGAAAATAAAATTAACTGCGTTACTTATTATCAAACCAAACACATTTACTTTTAGCTGCACTGCACTGAATTTTTCTTTGAGAATCGCATTTATGCACTATTTATGCACTATCTGAATTGTTTATTTATCATTTGAAAGTATTTTTATACGCATTAAAATACTAGTTTTACATTATGTCACTCATGTTTTAATATAAAATTTATAAATCAAAACTAATTTAATAATATTCGACCGCACAAAATTTATTTATTAAACTTTAATTCTACGTTGTTGATAGTAATATAAAAAGAAAATGAAAGAATAGATAGTGAGAGAACATTTTATAACCATAAATTATATACTGGATAAGAGTCAATGTGAGAAAAGACAAATAAGATAATTAATCTTCAAAGGTTGCATTTATTCATTCATCAGAAACAACGGTGAAAAAGAAAAATTATAATAAGTCGGTCACTCTTTTTAATTAAGGACAATAACTCACACACTTCTTCAACCAATTAAGCTACATTGTAGTATTAAAAGGTATTCTTGCCACCATTTAATGTTTTTGGCTTTAAAATATAGAGAGGATGATTGCATGAATTGCATATTGATTGTGAATTTATTTTCTCCTTTAGGTTTATAAATTTATCTATTCAGATCACAATTAGAAAAAAATAAATAAATACAACTATATATAAATAAGTAGAATAGTTTAAATATCAAATAATAATCTTAATAGTGAGTCATATCTACTAAATATAACTAGTACAGTTGTAATTCTAAAATGTGTATATATAATTAGATTTTTTTAATATATATATATATATATATATATATATATTGTTGCAAATTATTTAAGAATTTTTATTACTTATTTTAACAAATCATGAGTAAAATGATTTTACATTGTTTTGAATTATTATAACAAAAAAAAAACATTGAATTAAATACAAAGATTAAATTACATAGAAATAGTATAGGACTTGTAGGAAAAAAAAACATTTTAATAAAAATGATAATAATGAGATCACATATCTGGTTGAAAAATGAAGATTATTTCTTTTAGTTATAGTAAAAAAGTAGTTATTTTGGTTTTGAACAATCTGTATGTATACATATCAAATCAACTTGTTATCTTTTGATTCATAACTTATTTGAACAGATTCTAAGATACATATTCACTAACAGAGATTAATAAAGTTTTTTAATAATCTACAAAATCAATAAATACCATTAACATATTAAAAAAAAAAAAAAACAGTTTGTTTGAACTAAATGCTAAAGAGCAAAAATGGATAAAGATAGGTTAGTGCTGGTATAGTGTCAACTTGGCTGGAATTGCATCTATGATGCTGGATTTGGCTGGTTGCCACCTTTGTTAGAGATTCCATCTACTTTTTCTCATTTTTGTTTGGGTTATTCATCTAAATATTAACTTTTTATAAAGTTAAATGTCAATTTCTCACTCAGAACAGAGAGATTGAAGTAACAAAATAGATACAATTTTTGTCCAGCCACGGATATTCCTAAATCTATTATAACTGTAGTTGACCTTAAAAGTTTTTGTTTAATGTTTGGATAAAAATAAGTATAAAAAAAAAAACAAAAAATTCAAAGTTTGGTTGGATATGAAAGTAGAGAAAAACAATACATTATCTTATAAAAACATTTTTGTCCTTATCAGAAAAATATATAGAGTATATTAGATCGTATGAAAAATAGAAGAAAAAAAAAGATTAAAATTGTATTTTAACGAAATCTTACATTTTCATCTCATTTATTTATTTTCTTCTTAGTTAAGAAGGGGTTTTATTATTTTAAGACGAGACTTGCACTTTAATATTTTATTTTCTCTTTCATCTACTTTTCTTAAACAAACAATATAAAACTTTTTTTTCTACCATTGTTTTCTTTTCATTTTCTCTTTTTTCTAAACTTCTATTTAGACAAAGAAAGGGTAAAGGCACTAAGGGAAATGATAATAAGGTCTGACAAGAATAATGAATAAAGTTAGTTAGAACTGATTAAGAGAAATATGTAAGCATGACACTAAAAAAAGTAAAAAATCTTAATTATAGTAATAGTTAAAATTAAATATAAGCTAAATTAGATTATTTATTTATGTCAGATATGATTAAAAGAAATCATTTTCACTTAGTTCTTAATTACTTTCAGATTTAAGTATAAATTTTCTATTGTTATGTTAATGTCTTTATCGGTAAAAATAAAGTATAATGATGTACTTCATATAAAAAAGATGAATTAAAAAAATACCGAATAATCTGTATAACTTGTAACTTGTATATAAGAGTTTAATGGTTATATATTAATAATGAAAAATAATTTTACATAAATATTTCATTATAATTTATCATAAATCATAAATTTAATGATTTTTATAATAATTATTTTAAGAGGGTATTGGTACTTAATAATTTTTTTTTTATAAAAATCATGATACTTATAAATAATAAAATTTGTTTCATTGATGATAAATATTTTAAGGAATATTTTTATTACATTAAATAAATAAATAAAAATAATATGACCTTTTTAATGTTTTAAAAAACTTATTCAAAAATAATTTTGAGGAAACATTGTTTCCTAAAATAACAAATCAAATACAAGAAATTAATACTTTCGACATCTTAAAAATAAAAGTTCTTTATGCACTAAATATTTCCTAAAAATTATATAAAAAAAATGTGATTTTTATTTAATTGACAATTAAATTTGATCGTTAATTGATCACTAGAGTTAGCCTAATAGTTGGATAGAGAGAGATTGAGATAGTTAGAAGCATGAAGACTTAGGTTCTCAATTTCTAATTATGGGCGTAGTGTTTGTTAATGTAATGTTTGTTAATCTATTAATAACAGACGTGATTAGTTATCTTCAATCTTTTGTTGCCAACAAAGACTTAAATTATGAGTAGTAGTTTAGGCGGATAGTAGCATCTTTGGTCATACACAGGGACGGATTTACTTACAAGGTAGTGGGGGCACTTGCCCCCACTACCATTTTACATATACATAATTTTTTTATTTAAAAAATAATATATTT